ATTGTGAGATGTATATATATATATATATACATCTCACAATATTTTCTTTACAAGTATATAAATTGCACTAAATCACATTATATGTATACAGGTACAAGAATGGTTTGACTATCACAAATGAAAAGTAATTTTTATTCTTACTCTAGTCCACATTTTTTCGAGAAACAAAAACTTAAAAAATTTTAGGAATTAAATAAAATTAAATTGTGAGTTTTATCATTGAAACTAAACTACTTTGTAAACTACATAATATTCAATAATATTGAATTGACCAAAAATAACTATCTTGTATTTTTCCAGAATATTCCGCAATTATATTCGTATTACTTATTATTAATATTGAAACCAAACTACTTAGTGAACTACATAATATTCAATAATATCAAATTGACCAAAAGTAATTATACTATTTTGTACTTTTCCAAAATACTGCAATTATATTACTTATTATATTTTAATGATTTCTTTTTGATATTTGTATCAATTCTTGCAAAATGTTATTGCGCTCCTCTCGTAATTTATTGGCTTTAATGAATTGCTCAAACTTTTTTTCCATGAATTCTTCATATAAATTCTTATTTTTTTTGTTGTTCTTCTGACACTCATCGTTGCACAGCGATTTTCACTTTCTTCATGCATCTCATTGGATAATTTCCCTAAATTACTTTTCAATATGTCCAATACACGTGCTGTTGTGCAGTTCTTATTTGTGTAGCTTTTCTTGTGTAGCTCTTATTTGAGGATGTCTGTATTTTAAATATGCAACATTTTAATAAAAATAGCAGAAATAATCTTCTTTATGTTCTATAAACAGACTTTATTATCTCCAATTTATATAATTTTGTACTAACCTTTTTGCAACTTGTGCTATTATCAATCGCAGTTTCATCAGATATTTCCTATCCATACAATGTTCCTGTTTCATTTCTTACATATTGCTTGTTTACTGTGTTTTCATTGATATTTATGACATTATTTTCCTTGTCTGCACTGACCTGCAATATAGATCTGTAACATATTTAATAAACGATTACAATAGCTTTGCTGTATAATAAGTTATTTCATGAA